GATTTCTGACACTTAGGTCAGACACGGCAAAACAAGCTTTTAAGCAAATCCTACCATGTCAAATTCTCTCAGAGTTCCACAAATCTGATCGCCGTCCTGACCTTCCTGCATCCTATGAAGTGAGCAACGACGTCTATTCATCTGTAAATGTTGATGCAGCTAAACTAAAAGATACTATCTGGTCCCTTGCCCGCGTAGATGTCACCCAAAATCAGGTCTTCATCTATCCTCCATCACAAACAATGCCTTCTTGGAGTGCAAGCAACGCTGTATGGACAGAGGAGAACATCCCAGAAAAGAACCTCGCATTCTTGCCTGTCCTGCCCTATCCTGTTACTGAGTATGCAACAGTTTATTCTGCGATGAGGAATTTCATGTCCATTGGCTCACAGCTGGTTCAAACAGAAATCCAAATGTATTGTGACGAAGGGGTATACTGTATCGTCAAGGAAATTCAATTGATGAGACCGCAGGAATTCAGCACTCTAGTCCCATGCTTGGGGACATTTCACTTGGTGAAAACTGTTTTGAAGTGCATTGGAAAAGCCCTCGGTGGAAGTGGAGCCGACATGACCTGGCTACATGCCGGTGTCTTTGGTCCAGCCATTATTCAGAACTCAGTTCTCAATGGAGGACACTACAGCCGCTGTCTTGAAGGCATGCAACTCCTTGCTGAAACGTTCCAGCGTCTACTCTACAAAGAATTATTTACCGAGAGAGGTGTTGAGCAATATTCACATGAGCTTGCTATCCTGACTGACCTCAAATCAAGTGTTACGAAGAAGAACGTCACTGACAGTCCGAAGTTTATGGCCAGGCTCTGCAACTGCATCTACCAAGTTATTCGAATATCTGAATACGTTCATCGCAACACGTACAGTCTGCTGTGAATGAGAACTTCAGATTCTGGGCTCAGTTCCTCCGCATGATGACTGTGGTGCATGATCTGTTGAGAGCAAATCGTGAGGGGATATGGGAACTTCATCTTGATGCCGTCCAACGTGCTCTATACTTATTCGCCGCTTTTGACTCGACCAACTATCTTCGCTGGTGCTCTGTCTACCTGGAAGACATGTGGCGTTTATCTCAAACTGCACCATCAGTGCATGTGAACTTCTCAAATAGGAACTTTTCCATCAAGGAGAAACCCGGCCGTTTCACTGCAGTCGGTGGTGACCAGAGGCTTGAGCAAAGTATAAACCTATCATATAAATGCAGTGACGGAATCATCGGGCATGCCAAGCAGAAGCAGTACGTTGCTCAATGGGACTTGATATACCATGAAATGATGGCAGTAAAGAATCTGCATCGGAGACATGCTGATGTGATGGAGAGGACACACGATTCCTTTAACCACCACGGGTCATCCAAAGCTACTACAGTTCGCAAGGAGTCCCATATCCAGGCAATGGTAAAATTCATTGAAGAGAAGGGCTCCCCCGTGTCTCTAGGGGCTTCCCCCATGCTGCATAATTTCGTGAGAAAGAAGATCATGGCAAAAGAAATCAAAAATTACATACTGAGTGCCTTCGCAAAAGGAGAAGAGAAGTACTTGACATTTCGACTCAAAATGTTCGTACAGAAAACCACAAGACTTAGTGAAAGTATTCATCGAGCAAACCTGAAAACAATGAAAATAAATCGAAACAAGCCGCAGAAGACCATCAAGAAAGCAGTGAAGGAGATGAATGTTGTAGGGAGAACGATTGAAATCGCCCGTGATCGTGGCCTCACCACCGCGGACCTCTTGAAATATGATGTTGCACCTTCACCTCTCTGTTCAATGAGGACGGGACGATGGTCAGCCCAGGGAAGAGCCTGTTGATTAAGGAGTTGGAGACTAATCACAAACCTGAGGACTATGGCTATAGACATCGGAAGAACACTTCATATGTCATAGACATAATGGTCACAGTTCGTAAGGTTCGTGTGACTAGCCTCTCCAGCTGCAAGGATCTCCTCTTAAGATTTGTATCCATTTCGGATGTATACCATCAGTTCGGGCGATGTGACTATGTGTTCGACATGTACTCAGATGAACCCTCAGTGAAGGATAGTGAGAGAAAGAGGCGCACTAAAACTGTACCAATAGAGTACAGTTCAATTGAACCAGAGACACCTTTGCCAAAGGAGATGGAGAGATTCTGGCCGTCAAACATGAATAAGCTTCTTCTCGAGAAGCTAATCTACTACCATCTTCGTTCAAATACTTCAGAAACATTACAATATCCCACTGTACTCGGACAAGTGACCAAAGAAGACGAGGATTGGCAGTGCATCATGGTCCATCAAGGCCTGGAAAAAGCATGGCCCCACCTTAAATCGTCATTTAAAGAAGCTGACCTCCGAATACTCATCCACGTCTTGGACTCTCAATGCAGGACACAAAGTGTATGTTGTAATCTCCAACGATACAGATGTTATTGCTGCTCTGCTCTACTACATGCCCGTCTTTCACCAACACAACCTTGAGTCGCTGTGGGTGCGAGCTGGAATGGGAGATACAACTCGATATATACCCCTTCATACCCTGTTCCAGCGCCTGGGTAATCGGCTCTGTGCAGTACTGCCGGCTATACAGTCTTACAGGGTGTGACATAACCAGCAAAGTTGGTACAAAGAAGACAGCTCTAAAGGCAGAGCCTGAAAAGTTGCTGAAACACTTCAGGGAATTACCAACCCTCTCTCCGGCCATGACTCGCAACGACGATCATTACTTAGTGAAGGTACTGAAAAGAGGTAGCAATGCTAATGCTAGCCGCACACTATCCGATTTTGCACTGTGCACAGCACTAAGCCCCCGCACACTATACGACCCGCTCCCGATCGATCGGGAGGCCACCGCACACTGTCCGACTCAAAGTTGACGCAAACCATGGCACTCTCGTGGCGTTC